CTCGTGACTTTTTAGACCCTTGAAGATCGGGGAAGGGTTTCTCATGGGTCGATGCTGCACGGAATGGTTTGGGTGTTTTACATTTGGCCGAGTTTTGGGGGGTGGAATGGATGAGATGTGATGGGATGATTGAATCAATGGATGAATGAATGAAGGATTCAATAGGTACACTATGTGCCGAAATAGATGTTGCAAACTCGAAGGACAATTGGGTGGTTATCTAGGTGCCTAGGTAGGTACATGAATAGTCAGCTGGGGATTGATCGGAGGATTGAGAATGATAAGTGAAGAGTGCTGAGTATTGAAGATTGAATATTGAATATGATAATTTTGTGTTGAATCGTGAGAAATAGGTATGTAGATGAGCTGAGATATCTAAGTACGTACCTAGGAGGTATCCTTTAACTCCGAGTTTGGGGGTTACAATTTACAGTTGCAGCTTACAGTTACAATTACGATATAGTGCCTTTGCATTGAAAGATACCAATTTATTGATTCTTCGCTGGCCTGGCCTAACATTCTTGTTATTGTTATTGTTACTCATGAGCTTCTATCGGCATTTCAAAAATCAAAATACCTACCTAGTATTGGAATATGTACCTATGTTGATTCTACTCCGTTGAGTACCTACCAGGTAGGCATGTACAGAGTAGAAAACAAAATTTGTCGAGTCCGATGATACACACACCATACAGACTTACAGACACATATACAAAGTTGCTCCATTCAGATATTGTTAACGATAGTGTTGTTGAATATCCATTATTGATTGGTTCGATATCGATAGGATACCAATTCCTTGTATTTCTTTGGCTGGTTGGTAGAAAGCTTACTTACGAGCCTGTTATTGTATCTGTCATCTGTCATCTGCTATCGGCGAGAGCAGAGTAGAGCAAGCAGAAAGAAAAAACTCAAAGCCATCTATTCATCCATCCATCCATCCATCCATCACCAACCCATAATTTCCATTGAAAAAGAAACATGAGGCTCACCAAGAGAAATAGACACAGATACAGACATCCCATGTTCACACTCACATCCACCTTCCCATCCACATCCCCATTCATCTGCTCGTAGCACTACCTCGCTACCTAGGTAGACTGACAAACCACACCACACCACACCCAGGTCCCATGGAGATGAGAAGATTGGATTGCTGCCCAATCCCTAACATTAAATGATTATTATCCCGACATCTATCCTTCAAAGTTCTTTTCCCCTCCCAAACCCGCAAGGTGTACCTGGGCCCAGAGGCCAGGACGAGAAAAAATAGGTTAATATGTTTTGAGGCTTGCGTTGTTCTGCGCCGAAGAAGAGCGAGCACCTACCCTTTCATCACATCGGGGCGAAATGTTTGGGGAGGGACATCAGATAGACTCGCCAAAAATCAAGCCCCTTTCGAAGAAAAGAATATCTTTTAATAATTAAATGGGAATACGGCTGAATACGGAAGTATAATTCTGATATAACAGGATTCGAAAAAACAATTAATCATACGCTCGCAAATATCTATAGTTATAGAATTCATATCAAAATATCAATAAAATGATTTAATATACAATTTCGAAAAGGGGGTAAGCTTCTGGCATCCCCAGCAATTGTTCGTCCAGATGGCGCCACCCACGCAGAAAAGCCCAGCGAAAAAAGAAGAACGAAGACGGGAAACACGTTTCTAGAAGCATTTCAGTGAGTAGTAGGAAGGAAGCTAGAAGGTTGGAAGGAACAATCTGCGTTTTCTCGGGTCAGAATACATGAGACATGGCTCCATGAGTGGAGTATAGAAACTGAAAGGGCGTGCGTGGGTGAGAAAAAGGGCCAGGGGCGGCTCGGCGGCATTGCTATGGATGGATGGTTTTTCCCCTGAGTTTGGCAAACTTTGGTTTTTGTTTTGTTGGATTTTGAGTCGTGTCATATGATCACGGACGGTATAGGACTTTGTCGTTGGGTGCTGTTCTCCTGAGACAGTGATTTGGTTGATTGGAATTGGGAATATGGGGCACGTTTTCTGCTGGCCTCGAGATAAACACGCGGGATGGGTGGTTGGATGAGAGAGATCCTATCTTCCGCCTTGCTCAAGAGTAATTAATGAATGAATGAATGAATGCATGAAGCTTGAGGCTCGAGGCTCGAGTCAATTCCCAATAATGGTTTGATAGGCAGTTTATCCTGCCAAAGTTGCTTAAGTATGGTACTAGTTCATTACTCCATTGCTGTTCATTGTAATATATCGTCCTGTAAGTCATGTGGTGTGGAGAAGTACCGGGTGGGGTCCAAAATCCGGGGGATTGGTAACTTTGGTCTGGATACCTAGGTATTCAATTGTCTAAATGCAATATAAAAAACCTTGTAAGGATATACAGAGTAGCCATGGCTCCAATCGAAACTCCCTATGGTTGATGAAAAGGCTCGCACTGGATCACAAGTTTCTTTCGTTTGTTGGGATTGCAAGTTCTGATTGTTACTCTAGATTACCAGTCTGGATTCCTGGATTTCGAGAGAGTAACACAATATCATCCCCCATCTTCAGACCAGTAACAATGAACGTCACACAACGTTTCCTTATATTGAGGCGGAGAGGTATAAAGAGGTCAGATGTTCATAACGGTCCCGTACTTGGATATCGGAAAGGGTTCCGCGACGTTTTTAAGCATTGCAGATATGTAAAGCTGGACAAAAGCTACCTATTACCTTGGAGATATAGACTAGGAAGGTAGGTAACTTTTTCTGTTGTGCTGATGAGGACTGAGAGATTCTGTTGTCGCATGGAGAATGCGTGTTTTTGTTGGGATTATTTCCTCGGGTGGAAGGATTGGCCTTGTCTGTTTCGTTCCCTTTCCCTCTTTTGCCTTAACTTTGGCTTGTCTCAAGCTTGTTTGCTGGCCTTTGAAAACAAGCAATGACTCTTTCGTGATCAGTGATTCTATGTGTTTTCCCACAGTAAGACGAATACTAGAATCCTGCGACAGCGGTGAGTCCGAATAGTCGCATAGGTCGGTAAGATTGAGTAGCAGTACGCTATGAAGTGTGCCAGCCCAACCGTAAGACTTATAAGAGATGTACCATGAGTATAATACCAATGCGAGTTTGACAACGCGAGAACTATGAGTCGTGCCGCAGATTATTACTGCCGGGGCGGTGTCAAGGCTAGAAACCGGCCTCGCGTTGTATTCCATTCATTTTGCCTTGCCTCGTGCCTTTATGCATGTCGCAAAGCCCCTGAATATAGTTTGAGCTAGGTAGCAACAATTTATTTGCCGATTTCGAGTTCCAACATGGTCACCATCGGCTTATTCGATGTGGAATATACGGAACACGGAGTCTGAACTCCGTAGAAGCAGGGACTGGGCCGCGTTTCTTGCACGACGATGATGCGAATGTTCTACATTGAGAATTTGAGACAAGAGATGAAGCTATTCTCAGGTCAATCTTATCTCATCTCATCTCACCACGTCTAATTTCCCTGCATTGATCTTCCGATGGACAGGTAGTACTATAAGATTAGGTATGTGTAACATGTCAATGCTTTTCAGCAGTGTAAGGGTAGAAAAGGCATACAGTGCAACTTCATATTTTGCGTCGGATGGCTAGATGCTCCTCACGCAAGTCATAAGTCATGAGTTGTAGCAATTGCCACTCAACACGGCATTCTTTGTATTGTTTGTGACACTAGGATTGGATAGAGATTCTCGGGCCCATCAAATGTTTTTTCCAAGTACATACATACCTTAGTCGCCAAAGTAAGTCAAGAAGATGGAACGGCCTTCCAATCCTTGTTGTAATGTCCACGCATACTTCGTACAAATGAAGTGAGATTCTTAGATGCTCGAAAGCATTCTAATATCTGTCCGCTTCCTACCTAGGTAGGTATAGCGCAGTCCTGTTATGTTAGATACGTACGCACGAAATAGTTCTTGTGACAATCGAACATCCTTGGCAAAAGAAAGGAGCAGACATGAGTGGTACCGGCAGCGAAGGAATTTGCATCCTGGGAAAGAGGCAAACGGTTTTCATTTACACCTTCCCTCCCTTGCCCTACTTTTCTTATTCCTTCTTTTTGCAATATCTCACCAACCCCACAGTATTATATAAACGAATCACGATATCAATGATAGCCGTATCTCTCCAAGAGAAGGAAAAGAAGAGATAATGGCCGAGTAGAATGTGATACCTAGGCGAGAACCCTGGCTTAAGCTCTCTACTAAGCACCAGCACCGGCTACTCCCATAAGGTTTCCACAGTTTTAATTTGATTCAAAGTTAATAATATCCCATGAAGAATAATCCAAACTCATTGTTGTTCTTGTGAGTGCTGTTGTCGGAGTAGGATACTGTAGTTCAAATATTGACGGAAGCGAAGGAATGAGAGAGAGAGAGAGAGAGAGAGAGAGAGAGAGAGAGCGAGACGAAGTTCATTACATAAATGATTGATGAATGCTTATCACATTACCTAGGTACTGACTATTCTCTACGGACTCGAGAAGTCTTCCGATGGATTGCTTCGTACAGTAGTGTACCGTTTTGTACATACATGATGTAAAAGCCAACGCAAAAAAGTCTCAGAGTCTCCAATAGTAACAACAGTCGCCTTGTTATATCCACTTTATATGATCTACCAGGCTCAATTCCCTTTCATCCATGTCCATAATTGTATATCCATATCCATATTCACACCCACACCCACACTCATCTTTTGTCCGTCAACCTGGCACCAGGTCCATCAAATCGTATCCATCCAGATCACACATACAGGGCGAGAGAGAGACGCTACCTCAAGTAGGTTATTTCTTCCAAATTAAAAAGAAAAGATTTACAAAACTTGATTTGTTATTACTTTATTCTTATGGTTCCCCGAGTCTAATTGCCGATCAATCAATCCGTCTCATAATTCATCATATACATTCGACTAATTACAGTAAAATCCTACCTCTCTCCTACTGATATCTAGCTACTCGAGTCACTGTGTGCTGAGTACATACTGTACTGTATAGTCTGTACATCGTACTGTCTTCGTTCTCAACGGAGATTCAAACCCCCAACCCTCATCCTAGGTATATATCTGCTGGTCGGTTCTTACCTATTCTATCTGGACTGTGCTTGCTGTGCTTGCTGTGCTGTGCTGTGCTGTACGGAAGCAAAGAAGCAAGTACCCCGTGCACGTTATACGTTATTCTGTTCCGACTGACTGGAGCCAAAAATGAAAACAATCATCACAAGAACAATAATAAGAACGATTCATTGCATTTCATAACAAGACCCCTTTGCACCTACATGTCTACATACATACCCCCCTCATCAGCCTCCCTCCTACCAGATTCCTACTAGGGACCCTACCTTACCAGCCCAGCCTACCCAATGGAAAATTGGAGAATTTGATCTTTTCAACTGGAACCTCTCTTCCCTCGAATGAAAAGGTTAGCCTTCACCATTTGACGACAACCGCTACAGGTACTTATCTACTTGCCTACTTGCCTACTTGCCTTACCCACCGACTCACCTACCTAACACAAGTCAATGGTTTCGTTCTCGGATACTCCATATCGTATTATCTCTCAAAGCATCAATATCCCTTCACATGACATTTCTTTCTCATCGACTTTGAGATAGCATATTATATATTCCAAATAGTATTCGCTGGTGTGAACTCGAAATCGAACTCCCTACCGACCTACCTATCTCCTCCTCCTCATCACATCAACTCAAATCCACACAAATTTACAAATTCACATATTCAACAAATTCTCATTCCTCGGATCCTTTCCGAACCAATAACTTTTTTTTCCTATCATTTTAATCAACTTCCCCCCCTTGGTACGTACAAAAATGATACCTGCCCAAGTACACACAACCCAAACCTTAAGTTATTAGCCATCTTCTATTCTTTCTGCTTTGTTACTCCCTCGGGCTCGGAGTCTCAATCAGAAGCTTAGTGTAAAAAAAAAATACTTCTAGAATTTCTATTTTGGAATTTCATAACCTAAAATCTCATACTATCTTCACTATCTTTCTTAGCTTCACTAGCTTTTTTCTCTCTCATCGGCCATATCCTGGATCTCTTCCTTACAACCTTGTCTTTCTACAGATTCACTCGTCACCGATCTCCCGTCCCTTTCAATACCCGGCCAATACTTAATATTCACCAAATTTTAATTCTTTACTTTAGTTTTCAGCTTTCTTAGCTGTTCATAAAGCGCCTTTCTCTTTCACGGTGACGCAGCAACTTCTGGGTAGGCTAGCTGCCTGCCTTAGAAGAGCTGCAGTCATTTTACAACTTTAGGTTCTGGCGACGTGAAGAAGAAGATGGCTTTGATATTGCCCAAGGGCATTGTGGTCAATTCTCCTCAGATTGGAAGCACCATTGAGAGAATCAAGAATGATCCTTTGGATCTTGCAGACATTGCCAGATTTTGGAAAGGTACCTTACATATCTCGATTAAAAAGTAAAGCATCAAGCTTATTGTCTTCTAGTCTATACCACAACAAAACGAAGACTTCTCGACCCTACAGCTGAGCGTCTGGAGAATTATTGGTGGCGAATCTGGGGGAGTCGAAGTCGAGAGTTGGATGCTTCAACTGTTGCTCGACTCTTCGTACATATCTCAGAGGGTGACACTTTTGTGCCACTCAGAGGACCAGCCAATCGTTATGAAAATGAAAAGCCAATGGTATGCAAATCTATTGATGAACCGTGGAGCCCTATACTGAATTTTGTACTATCAGAATAATGTAGCCTGTATTGGAAAGACTGCCTCGACTACTTCTGTTGCTCGTGTTCGCAACGACAGCCGATCAAGTACAACGCTGACATCAGTCACCCGGACACCTGCTCCTATGCCGCCTCCAATATTAAAAAAGACTCGAGGTCCTTCTGCAAACGGTCCTCGACCGACTGCACGATTCATATCCCCGCCAGCTTCAGAAGACGAGTCTGGTAGCACAAGCACAAACAAGAACGTTGTACAATCACCTTCGCCAATCCTTGAGCATACGGCTACTGTCGAGGAGAAGATCGAGAAGGAGAAGATTGACAGAAAGTTAATGCCTGCACCGGCAAGTAAGAAATTTGTTGCTTCGGCTTCCAAGAAGAAGAGACCAATTGTTGTCAGGCGACAGAGTTCGCAAACTTCACAGTCTTCAAATGATAGCTCGGCGAGGGTTGCAGGTGGACAAGGACAACAGAATAGAACTATGGGAAGGCTGCCGACGTTATCCGTACTGCCAGTCAGAAATCAGAACACGCAAGAAAACGTTGCACCGCGAACCACAACCTCGCCGACCAAGCGGAATCCCTCCAGATCGGCCGCTCCAACTGTGGGAGGTTCGCGCAAACTTGCAAGCACTCGTGAGGAGAGTATTGAGATTGCGCCCACTCAGCCTGAGCCTTCCAACAACCTTCAGGCACTAGCAAGCAACCAAGTTTCAGTACCTCAAGTCAGTGAGGCTGAGTTCAAGGTACAAAGAATGCTTCACGACAATGTTAAAACAGTCAGCATGTTACCACCTGAAACTTCAAGTCCGGATTCTCCGGCATCGACCACGTCTAAGGATTCGAGCAATGGTAAACCCCCTGGATATAGGAAAGCGAGTGGGAAAAATCTTTTGCAATGCCAGTCTAAAGGCATGGTCAGCTCGGCGCCAACATTGACTGATGCAATTGGTCACCTCGATCTAGGAAATGGTAACCAACTTGCAGCAGTACCCGCGTCGCCAGAAAGACCAAGCAAAGGCAAAGCTCGAGCTCTGATGAAAGATCTCTTTACCAAGAAATCATCTTCACAAGCGGCTCCTTCTAGTCCTATATCGGGAAGCTTAGCATCAAGCCCTTCAGGACCCTTGAGTAAAAGCAAGTCGCAACTTTCGCTTCTGCTCGAACGAGATCAAGCTAGGAGTTTGGAACCTAGGACATTACCGAAACATGAGCGGAAACAGTCCATGAATTAATTTGCGTGCGATATACGAGAGATTAACGCATAGTTTGTACATATATATGATCGATTGGGAGGAGCATAATATGCACGATTAACAAAAGTGTTTCCAAGGCGCATCGTTTCTATCACTGCATCAGAGGCGCGTTTCTGGAACAGGATTGCTATTGGTGTCATGGATATTGGGAGTTAATAGGTTGCACATCTGGCTACGGAGTTTTTGGGAATGATTGCATCTGGGAATGGAGCTTTTGAAATATCTCTAGAAGGCCTTATTATCATGATTAGCGAGGAAGATCAGCACCCCCATGATATACATGCAATACAAGTAATTGATAAGGGCTGGCTGGTAAGCTTGTGCATGGTTGTAAAAAAAAAAAAAAATGTAAAAAAAAGGTAAAGCGTAAATCATCTGGACACGAACTATCTAATCATATTATGTATTAATATCCTGACGTACATGATGAGTATCTGTACTTGAAGTTTCTATTTCCATGTACTCCTTACTAACATAGTAAGTATCAATTGTACAAATTAACTCGACTGCAGGTTGTGCATATCCGATTGGTAGAACGGATAAAAGCACCGAGTTTCCCCCCTGGAGATCTCCTGGCTTCAGAATTTTTTATATTGCGAATATATGCACAGCGTCGAATATAATAATTTGGATGAACAAATAAATCATTGGTTGTTACACGATGCGTAACACCATTGTGTACTGTATGCATATAAAGAGAGAGACTTCACTCTTATATTTTAGATGTTCATCGGTCTTCCCAAAAGTATTAGATTAGATTTACCGTTATTCGGCCCATGTCGCAAATCATGTACGGAAAGACGCTTGGGGAATTAATTAACCTTAAGTCCCGAAAGTCACTAAAGTTAAAGCATTTTGATGTGTGGATTGAGGTTAAAATGTTTACTTTAAAATCCACTTCACTCCACAAAATCTCTTCATTTTTGTGATGAGGAAATCAAGTTTTCTTTACTTGTGTAAGGGATTATGGACTGGATGCCTGGGAGCATGGCTAAATTCGGGATTGGGGATAAGGGATTTGTCTCTATTCGTCCGTACAAGGTATGGATGAGTGGGGGTGAGTTGGATGGATCATGGAGGCTCGTCACTGTGGATAGGGTGTTCAAGGGGTTTTTTGTTACGAAGCTTTTTGTTCTTTTTTATATGGTTTGGGATGGGTTGGTGAGATGATGGTGGGCTGGTTTTGAATGAAATTTTTGGGTCGTTCTTTCATATGCTTGCCTGGCTCGCTCTGGCCATAGGCGAGGAATGCAAGTATCCATACAGATATGGAGTGGTTATAACTTCTCAGTGTAAGCCCGCCACCAAAGGCTGCTCGGAAAGGGTAAAGAAACTAGCTACTTGTGGAGTATGTATCTCTGCGGCGCAAGAATTGGATCTCGGGTAGTGAATGGAATTTGACGTGAATGTTACATTGGCATTCCCCCTTACCTTTCCTTACTCATCGGCTTATCCTGTACCTTAAATTTTCTCTGTGACGTTGTGCATTCCTTTCATCTTCATGTGTGGAAAGAATCGGTATCAAGATGGCGATTTTTAACGATCTGGCCATAGCGACTACGCGACGTCCTTATCCGTTTGTCCTCGGGCTTCTCCTCACGCTCCTCGTCTTCCTCTACACCACTGGACCACAGAAGTTCTCTCCGGCGCCGCCTCCACGGATATATACCCCCACTGTCGGTCATGGATCTGATGCGCAACGGGACTCGGAGTATATCAGTGGACGATTTTGATTCGACGGGACGTGGAATTACACGAGAGATTATCGGAATTTGTTCTTGACGCAGGAGCAATGCGATGTCGCGTTCCCGGGACTGTTTGAGGAGGTGGAGAGACCGGTTAAGCTGAGAATGAACAAGAAGGTGATGAGGAAGGAATTGGATGACACGCCGGCGTTGAATGGGTTTATCCGGGCGATGATTTATGATCAGCAGGTTTGTGTTTTTGGTTTCTTCTCTCTCGACAGTTTTGGAGATAGTGAAAGGAGAGTTTGATGAGATGGATAGATATAAACTAACAAAAACACAGTTATACATAATCGACACCTACGGCAAAATCTACTCCCGCGGCATCGCCACCCTCCATGCTCTCCACCGCGCAATGCTCACCTCCCCCGAACCCCTCCCTAACATCGAATTTACCATGAACGTAGACGACAAGATGGAAGGACATCCCCAATGGCTCTACGCACGACAAGCCAAAAATCAAGAAACATGGCTCATGCCCGAATACGGGTTCTGGTCATGGCCCGAGACAAAAATCGGTAGCTACGGGGAAATGCAAATGAAAGCCATCCTGACCGAGAGCGAGTGGCCCTGGAGTCGGAAGATCGACAAACTATTATGGCGCGGCGCGACGATGAATCTGGAGGTGCGCCAGAAATTTATTAATGTGACGGAGGGCAAGGCGTGGGCGGATGTCAAGACGCTGGATTGGCATAATGAGGGGAGTATGAAGAATGATTTGAAGAGTATGGATGAACATTGTCAATACAAGTTTCTGGCGCACACGGAAGGAAACTCGTATTCTGCGCGGCTGAAGTATCTCCGGAATTGTCGCTCGGTGATTGTGGCGCATGAATTGGAGTGGATGGAATTTTTCCATCCGTTGATGAAGAAGGAGGGGCCGGAACAGAATTACATAGAGGTGGATAGGGAGTTTAGGGGGTTGGAAAAGAAGATGGGGGAGTTGATGGAGGGGAAGGATCGCAAGGAGATAGAGGAGATTGCGGAGAGGAGCGTGAGGGTTTTTAGAGAGAGGTATCTTACGCCGGCGGCGGAAACGTGTTATTGGAGACGTTTGATTAGGGGCTGGAAAGAGGTGATGGGGTTTGAGGTGGAGTTTTTTAACGTGACGAAGGGGGAGAAGAAGTGGAGGGGGGTGCCGGTGGAATCTTTTATGTTGGAGAGGAGGTTGGAGTGGGATCCTTATTAGTTTTGGGGTTTGGGTTTGAGTGAGGGGAGAAAGGGGAAATGAGGAGTAAGGTGCATATGCATATGCATGATATTTAATATTTTGTATTCATTGGATTTATGGTATTGGTTGTGATTATTGGGTTTGTGATAGATAAGACTCTTTGGAATGAGAATATGTGAATGTTTAACACAATATTCTTCAGGTTATCATCATATAATGAGACGCAAATGAAGATCTGGATAGAAACAATATAGAAAGAAACTTACGGAAGCAATAAAGTTACATAACACGTGCATATGCTCGGTTCAATTCAAAATTTGTTCTGTACATTGATGGAATGATATATTTGCTCAAGAATTATCAGCTTGTGCAATTATCAGCTCGTGAACCCCCGCATCGTCTAATATCATAAATCAACTACTGCACCTGCGCATGTAAAACGGACCGCCAGACCTAATATTATATCATTCGATAGCTACAGTACCTATGCAATATACAGAGACACTCTATCAATACCATTATCCATAACTCGACCTCCGAACATAAACAAGTAACCGCAAACCCCAGGTAATATCATGACCACACATTACAATACCTACTTAGGTACCTCCACACATACACACATCACATAAACCAGATAGACACGAGAAGCCAATAAAAACAACAAACAAGCTACGAGAAAAAAAGTGCTATACTGTAACGTATCGTCTACGATCTCATCCCCATCCCATCTCTTCTCATCGCATCTTATCATGTGCATAGAATTTTATAGGGTTTTCTTGGCTGGACACCAAGATGTTTTCATCTCTTGTAGATTGTTTAGGTATGATAGAGAGTACTTGGATAGAAATCAAGTTTTGTTAACGCGAGCCCGCGCTAGTAAGACTGCTTAGATGTTGGGTTGTGGATGGATGTTTGGCTAGCGAATTGAAGAATGAGATGAGATGATTAGGCTAATGTTGCATGCCGTCACATCCTGAAGAACCCAATATCGGGAACCCTAACCCTATTTTTTGATACCGCATTATAACGTGCAAAAAAATTGTATGACGTATGATTGACAAAAAGCATGAGTGGAAAGTTTATGCAGATGCAGAACTCAATCGCATTTAAAACGAAGTCCTCCGAGGAGATACTTCCAGGACAATGAGACTGACTCACAACTGTAGCTGTGATATACATCCGATTTTCCGAGCAGGACGATCATTTGGCAGTGAGAGATACCCTGTCCAGCGCAAGCATCAGCAACCCCATCATCTCGGCGAAAAATGCACAGAAACCGAATTGAAACCCTGACGAGTCGATTGAGCGAAGAAAAAATCACATCCCATACACAGCTCAAAACGATGTGGAAGCTAAGACTAGTATGTGACACGACTTGTACAGTGCATTTGACATGTCCGGATGTGGTTCGTTTGGGATGGGAAAGCGACCGGAAACCGAGTAACTATACCCCAAGGGCCGAATTTCAAGGCTCCTATCCTTACACAACTTTTGGGGAAGGGTGAGGTGATGTTGAGCTGAAGAGGGCTGGATGTTCGATTAAATGAGGCGAAGGTGCATGTGCATGACGAAATAGACGAGGAATTGCTAGATGCGTGATGTGGTGGTGTGGGATAGTATAGAGGAGTAGATAGGGGATGAATATCGATCGTATGGATGGAAAATTTTACGAGAAGGTGGGCAGAGAAATCTGCCTAATGCTCCTTTCTGTTGATAAAAGAAAGACTCTGGTATAGGATTAGATGATCAGAGGAATATTCTCCTTGAAATCTAATCCGTAAGGCGTTTCGATTGAAGAATCCATCCATCCATACACCATCATATCACGGGAATGGGAATGTTCTATTCCTATCCACCTCCATCTTCTCTTCATTGCCTATACTTAGCATTCGACCTCCAGCGATCCTCCAAAAATAAAAATTGAAGAATAGAATAGAACAGAACAAAAACACAACGTGGCGTCCAGGTTTCCTCGCCATGATGTGATCCATCGTTAGGGCTGTGCATGTTACCCAGGAAAAAAGAAGTTCCCACCAGGGTTCCAAAAAAATCAGGGTCCTACGGTATACACACGTTCCCGGGACCCCCGTACCTGAAAAGTGCATTTGCATCGCATCTGATAAATTGGTTGATAAGTACCAACCTGGTAGTTGTTTGAATCTCGGGTGTTACAATCGAGGTATGAATGGATGAATGAATGGAAGGGATGAATGGAAGGATGAATGGAAGGATGAATGGATGGATAATGAATCGAGAAGTCGGTCGGTATCGATTGGCATGAGAGAGCTCATGGATGATTAATCGTACGTAGAAAGTTAAAGTTGGGTAAGGTTTGAGTCAAGAGAGGACAAACGAAATAAGGGTCGCATCATGGGTAGATGTTTAATTTTTGTGTTTAATTTCTTTTGAGGACATCGTTTTTTCTAGTGTGCTTTCTAATTCAATGGGTTGGTGTTGAGGAAATGGGTAGGTAGGTGGCGTCGACTATCTCTTTTCATCGAATTCTTTATTTATTTGAATGGAGATACTGAGTGATTGACTAACGACTGACTGACTGACTGACTGACTGACTGACTGACTGTATTTAACATTATTATATTTGCTGTATTTCTCACTCCTCTCTTCCTTTTATATCTCCTTACTCCTTTTTGCTGCTCGCTCTCCTATTTATCCATAGACACAACATCGAAAGTAGCATCTTTCTCCTATATCTATATATCTATTCAATATTACAAACTTTCACTCCACAGCCGAAATATAAGAGAATCTTATTTTTACATAAATGCAAACCTACCTACCTACTTATCTACCTATCTACCTATCTACCCACCTACCTACCTATTTATCTATCTATCTATCTACCAGGCATACCGGTATACACCCGCCCGGGAGGAAGAATAGATGATCCGGATAAATTAGCAGCTACCTACTGCAATCAACTGCACCACCCCCAAAAATATCACATAACACATAAACCACCAGGCAACCCAAGACTCAGCCAGACGAAACGGTACGGATTTTGGTGCCTCATAAACGATTCGACTCGATCCTCTTGATATATCTTTATTACCTATCAAATACATACAATACATACAATATATACATATATATAACTTCACCAATTTTCCCTTTTCACTTCCTTCCACTTCGCTTCGCTGTTAATTTTGATCACTTGGTCTTGGGGTCCACCAGTGGTCTTACGAAAAAAAGAATACGTATCTACAAAGAATCTTTTACATACCTACCTAGGTATATCCTACCTGCATATTATACATCCATCCATCCCAACCTTCCATATATCCATATACATAAAACCCTCCGAGTCCGAGGTATTAAGAGGGAAAAGGGCGAAGATTTCCATTACACCACTCACCAGGCTTGACCATTCTTACTCGATCAAACCCTTCCCTACCTACGGAACGGAAACAACCTGGAAAGATTTAACCGCGGAAATTTATTGGCCCATCCCAATCTGTGAGGGGGAATTCAATAAGCAGAACCCTCGCCCACGCAACGCGTCAAACGAATCCAAACGAATCCAAACGATCCTCTCCCTCACATCAACGTTCAACGTCCAACTTGCATATATATTACTTTAAGCCATCAACAAGTGCTGTTGAGCTTATTGACCCTTTTTTTTGAATAATTCTTCCTATTGTTATTTATTATTATTACCATTTTTCCCAACCCGTTTTGGTTTTCTGTACTAGACTTGGAGAAACGTTACGTTACGCCTCGATTTTATTTGATCTACATATATATTTAAATATATTTTTTCTGATTGTATTTTGGGGGGGTACTGGACGTTACTAGATCTCTTTACACCTTTTTGCTTTTATCTCGAGGTGAAAAGTGGTAGAAAAGGATTTTTTTGTGTATGCGATATTGTTTTTATTTATTAAGAGGGGAGAAGTGAAAATCACTAGATCTTGGTTCGGACGTCTAGTGTGAATTTTTTGATATCTTGGGATTATTTTGTACAGACGTGGATACGTGTGATAGTTGTCTATCTGTCTATCTATCACTATCTGTATAGATATATATCAAGAGAGATCGGAGGAGGAAAGACAATTATCAGATTTTAATTCAAGATGGCGACGAGGAATTCACAGTAAGTTTTTTTCTTCCTTTCTTTCTTCCTTTTCTTCTTCTACCTTTCTCTTTTTGCTTTCTATCTTTTTTTTGGAGGTTTGGCGTCGGTGGTTGGTGCATGCATGGAACGCACGGAGGTATGAATCAGGGGTAAAGTTTTAATATTGGGGAGGGGACTCGGAAAAGATAGCTGGCTGATATGGTGATTGGTGATTTTTAGGAGAACTTATCACATTGTGGTTTTGGGTGCTGGTGAGTTAAGTTATCTTTTCCCCTTGTTTTCCCTTCCTCTGTATTTAATTGTTCCATTCAAGAGAATGTTCGATTAGATAGAGAGAGAGAGAGAGAGATGTTTCAATTGAAGATAGAATGTTGATGGCTAATTATTTTTCTTCGTCTGCAAAGGTGGTGTTGGCAAGAGTTGCCTAACCGGTAAGGATCATTTTTACTTATTTGCCGAGACCGTGACCCACTCTCCTCCGGGAACTTTGAGTTGAGTTTGGGGGGGTGGAAATTTGGAAAGGTCGAAGTGGAGAGGCACGTGAAAGGAACGAGAGATGGAGATTCGAGAATTATCAGGAAGGGGATTATCGAAATACGCAGTGAAAATAACTGATGTGTGATTGGTGTTCTATTAGCACAATTTGTTCAGAATATTTGGATCGAAAGTTATGATCCAACGATTGAGGATTCGTACCGCAAGGTTATCGAGGTTGATGTGAGTATTATGAGATTTCTCCTCCGTCTTGGCATGGAGGTGGAGACACATGATCATGATGCTAACGCGGTCTTCTGATTTGATAGGGACGACAATGCATGTTGGAGATGTGAGTTTATCTTATCCTCTCACGGGGTCAAGAAGATGATACTGATATGGAGAAATATAGATTAGATACTGCGGGTACGGAACAATTCAGTAAGTT